ATTAGCTTCCCCTTGGCCAGGCTCGCGCAGAGTTACGATCGAATTGCTCGAGGAATTTTAATGAATAAGGGTTACATTGCAATTCTATCGCGTTGTAATTCTGTCACATCGTGATTCAATTACATTGTAATTCGATCACATTGTAATTCGATCGCATTGCAATTCAATTACATTGTCATTCGACCACATCGTAGTCTGTGATTCGGATCTCTATTCAATTCGGTTCAATTACAATGCAATTCGTAATTGCAATTGCAGCACAGTTGCAAAATACTGGACCATTAAATTGCATGAATCGCAAATGACGACGCAACCGAATTGAAAATCGCGAATTAAAAAATAATAAATTAATAAGTAAGACTTCGAAAACATTGAGACCTGTCTCTTATACACATCTAGATGTGTATAAGAGACAGGCGCTGTCGCGCGTGAACATACGTAATTTTATATTTCCTATCTTCTCAATCATTTAATCCCTGTCTCTTATACACATCTAGATGTGTATAAGAGACAGGCGCTGTCGCGCGTGAACATACGTAATTTTATATTTCCTATCTTCTCAATCATTTAATCCCTGTCTCTTATACACATCTAGATGTGTATAAGAGACAGGCGCTGTCGCGCGTGAACATACGTAATTTTATATTTCCTATCTTCTCAATCATTTAATCCCTGTCTCTTATACACATCTAGATGTGTATAAGAGACAGGCGCTGTCGCGCGTGAACATACGTAATTTTATATTTCCTATCTTCTCAATCATTTAATCCCTGTCTCTTATACACATCTAGATGTGTATAAGAGACAGGCGCTGTCGCGCGTGAACATACGTAATTTTATATTTCCTATCTTCTCAATCATTTAATCCCTGTCTCTTATACACATCTAGATGTGTATAAGAGACAGGCGCTGTCGCGCGTGAACATACGTAATTTTATATTTCCTATCTTCTCAATCATTTAATCCCTGTCTCTTATACACATCTAGATGTGTATAAGAGACAGGCGCTGTCGCGCGTGAACATACGTAATTTTATATTTCCTATCTTCTCAATCATTTAATCCCTGTCTCTTATACACATCTAGATGTGTATAAGAGACAGGCGCTGTCGCGCGTGAACATACGTAATTTTATATTTCCTATCTTCTCAATCATTTAATCCCTGTCTCTTATACACATCTAGATGTGTATAAGAGACAGGCGCTGTCGCGCGTGAACATACGTAATTTTATATTTCCTATCTTCTCAATCATTTAATCCCTGTCTCTTATACACATCTAGATGTGTATAAGAGACAGGCGCTGTCGCGCGTGAACATACGTAATTTTATATTTCCTATCTTCTCAATCATTTAATCCCTGTCTCTTATACACATCTAGATGTGTATAAGAGACAGGCGCTGTCGCGCGTGAACATACGTAATTTTATATTTCCTATCTTCTCAATCATTTAATCCCTGTCTCTTATACACATCTAGATGTGTATAAGAGACAGGCGCTGTCGCGCGTGAACATACGTAATTTTATATTTCCTATCTTCTCAATCATTTAATCCCTGTCTCTTATACACATCTAGATGTGTATAAGAGACAGGCGCTGTCGCGCGTGAACATACGTAATTTTATATTTCCTATCTTCTCAATCATTTAATCCCTGTCTCTTATACACATCTAGATGTGTATAAGAGACAGGCGCTGTCGCGCGTGAACATACGTAATTTTATATTTCCTATCTTCTCAATCATTTAATCCCTGTCTCTTATACACATCTAGATGTGTATAAGAGACAGGCGCTGTCGCGCGTGAACATACGTAATTTTATATTTCCTATCTTCTCAATCATTTAATCCCTGTCTCTTATACACATCTAGATGTGTATAAGAGACAGGCGCTGTCGCGCGTGAACATACGTAATTTTATATTTCCTATCTTCTCAATCATTTAATCCCTGTCTCTTATACACATCTAGATGTGTATAAGAGACAGGCGCTGTCGCGCGTGAACATACGTAATTTTATATTTCCTATCTTCTCAATCATTTAATCCCTGTCTCTTATACACATCTAGATGTGTATAAGAGACAGGCGCTGTCGCGCGTGAACATACGTAATTTTATATTTCCTATCTTCTCAATCATTTAATCCCTGTCTCTTATACACATCTAGATGTGTATAAGAGACAGACCCTCCGCAGCGCCGGCATTCGCGATGCTTTTAGTGTCGCGAGATGAAATGGAAGACGGTTTTGAGTTAGCGTTGCGATTGCAAACACGTGTTTCATTTTTAAACGAGATAGTCGGAGGCGCCGGGCCTCGCAGCATAAGACCGCGAAACACCATCTCTGTGCAAAAAACACAGCGTTACTAGACCTCGGTCTATATCCGGGACGGCCGCTATGATATCTCGAATATCTTAGTCTTAGAATATATCTTAGCGTCGCGATCATATTTGCCCAACGCGTTGCTTTTTAGCGATGCGAAACAAATGCCGCACTGCGAGTAGCCGTTCCAAGGATCGCAGCTTCATCGTCATTATCATCATCATCATCGTCGTCGTCGTCTCGCAATCGTTGATCCCCCTTTTAGAGTCGCGTGAATATAAACGAAAGTGCACGGGAGAGTTTTCAATTTCCGAATCGAGCTAATTAACATCGAAATCAAGAATGCACTGCTCGCGTTGCTGTGTTGACAGATAATATTTAACTTACTATTTAACTAAGATACTATTTAACGAAATTTTATAGACTAGCGTTGCGCGAAAATTGCGCGTTTCTTTCCACCCCTTTCGCTTCGATTTCCTCTCTGCACGCGAGATATAATCGTAATTCGCCTGTTCGGGTTGTTCTCGCGAGACACCGGAAGATCGGTACAGGGAGCACGAATGTTTTATTCCTTCCCTTTTCTTTTTTGTCGGGAGGGAGGGGTGCGAACACGTGGTGCATACGCCCACCGGACCATTGCGTAGAACAGAAACTCGTTGTTGCGTTCCGGGATCAACAAGTTGCAGCAGTTGGCGCGACATCGCGACGCGCGTCGCTCCGTCCAGGTTTTCGCGGCGCGAAACACCGCGCAACCCTTTTGTTCGCCGTTCCAGCGATGGAACCGTGCGCGTGTCCTCGATCGTACGAGGGTGTCGACGTAAAAAAAAAGACGCATTGAATGTGTCACTTATGTCGGCACGCGCGACGATACCGTTGCAACCGTTGCGGTAGCATCTAATGCAGTTTTTCAGTTTTCAATTTTTAATCTTCAATTTTCAGTTCTCAATTTTTAATCTTCAATATTCAGTTCTCAATTTTTAATCTTCAATATTCAGTTTTCAATTTTTAATCTTCAATTTTCAGTTCTCAATTTTCAATAATTTATAATTCGAAAGGAACCTCGATCAGACCGTAACAGATTGAAAATTGAAAATTACATCGAGCTAATGGCTGCGAGATACATTTTACAAATATGTCGATAAATATTATAAATAAGTATATATAGATATAAATATAATAGTAAATATAAATGATAAATAATTAAATTGCTGTTCAATTTATATTTTCCAGTTTCGTGGTTCGAATATATGTATATATATGCGCCCAATCAATTTATTGTTACACAATCGTGAAACGTCGCGTCTTAATGCAAACGTGGTATACAGAATGCATACTCGGTTCTCGCTAAGAAGCTTAAATATCTCTGAAACATCGGTAACAACGAGTTCGCGAGTCGCATAGTTTTTATTAATCGATGTTCGAGTCGATATATCGTGGGAGAGCTGTTGTCAAAAAGATCGAAACACAGTATCGAATTAGCGACAGTTTTTTTCGTGAACTGTCAAACGAGAAGAAATACTTCCCAAAATCGTCAAGTAGATGTGAAAATATTTTTTAGTATCAATATAATATTAAATAGTCGATGATAATTTTCGAAGCATTTGTTTCTCAACGAAGCCGATCGATTGAATATGATTTCGAAGACAACAGATTTAGCGATCACCAAACGTCGCGATGATATATTTCTGGAACCCAGCCACGTATAAAATAACATATACACATTAATTAATAATCAGCTTTTCCGGTATTTTATGTTGATCCATAGGAAACCGGATGAATATTTTTGATTTTTTAGCTACGGTTACTTTTAATTTCAGTTCTTTTTTTAACTGTTATATATTACATTAATTAATTTTTGTTTATTATAGAATTAGAATATATTAGATTACTATATATATTAGAATGAACGAACGATGATGCAGAAATTTCTTTTATTTTAATAGATTAATTTCTTGTTCAATATTCTATACAGCGTGTCCATAATTATGATAACCCCCGGAAAGGGGTGATTCCCGAATTAACAAAAATTGATCGACACATTTCTGAATCTCGTTCAGATTTCATTTCGTGTATTATCGAAACTCTTCTCTTTTTGTTTTTATTATTATTATTATTATTAATTATCGGAATCTGATTTGCAATTTCGTCGACTAGGTGAAAATATCGGCACTCCTGTACGAAATAACTGATCGTACCAAACAATTGGCTGAACCGCGTGCTCGGTTGGATAGCGACAAGAAATTTCAAAGTCGTGCGACCGCGGCGAGCATTCCGAAAGCTTCGGCACGCATAATCGAGCTTTCGAAACCACGGCAGCCGTATCAACACCCTTCCAAGCCTATCGGTTACGTTTCACGCGGTGCTCTACACGCGGTCGGTTCGTACTCCTCGCTTTTTACACGTTCAAGAAAAATACGGAGCGTCCGAAAAATCCGAAAGAATACGCCTTAACTCTTTCATGGGCACGATACGAATTTTTAAGAAGATGGCAGCGCGTTTCAACGGTGGCGATAGTTGAGCCTGGGATCCATATNTGATTTGCCGACTTCTTTCCTTAGACACGATATCAATATTCCAGCTTCTCTGATCGCTGTCTGGAAGTACACCTCTAAAAGACCACTGTGAAACGTTGGTGTTAACAACTTCCTCCGTGAATGCCATTTTTCGCCTGGAACAGAATCGAATATCCTTTTTTATTCTTCTTTTATTTTTTGTTATATGACAGGACTTGTTCATTCTGGAAACTGTTGTTTTAATTTTAACGCATCTTCCAAGATTTTTAATTTGATCGAATTAGTAGACATTTTTCGACAGAAATACGATTGGATGATAGGATATGAAGAAACTGATTTAATTGATTTACGGAATGAATCGCGAATGCCTGTTAAATTCGGTCTTTCTTCTAATTTAGTTCGATTGGAGAGTGATGAATTTTTTTTAGAGAAAAAGAGAATTTTAGAGTTTTGAGAGAAAAAGAATTTTAGACTTTCGAGAACTGTAGACTTGCGATAAAGATAAAGAAATTGTACGTTCCATAGATTCATACCGATTTAATTCAATAAGAATTAGCATTTCTAAAATTATTTAAATTATTTAAANACTGTAATTGAAATTCGAAGGATGCGTATTAGTTCTCGCTCCACGGTGGACTGTGTTTCAGTAATTTCAAAAATTCGCGTCCGTAGTCAGGTGATTTTTAGGAAAAAACATTTTCTTTCGTAGCCACGCAACGTATAATTGAGTTGTCGAGACCGAAAAGGAAGCGAAGGGCAAAGGNGAAAAAAACAACTGAATTCGCAACAAAAAACTGTGGGATCAAACGCGAAGCGAATCGGTTACATTGAACGCAAAAGGCGGTGATAACGACAACGTAATTATCGTTCCAATTAATTGGTATTCAGGAAGCTAATTTAATACGTTTGTTCTGCGAATGCAGTGACCAATAGATGAGCACGACTGGTGTTTAACATCCTTCGTTTTTATTGACTAACGTGGCTAAAATTAATTCGACTGTCTATATGCGGAAACCTGCATAGACATCCATTATGTAGATTATCGTAGATAATGTACACAATTTGAAATGAATACACGTCGCACGGGATGTCAAGGAATGTCGAAACATTAGCGGAATATTTCAATTATTCAACTGATGGTAATCGTTGCAACGACTATTTACTAGCCTCGTGTCTGCGACGAAAAGATTCGAGTGTTCGAAAAGTGAACAACATCGATCCGATATCTGTACATACATTATATTGTGCTCGATCTACCTGGAAACATGTTTCTACATTCTACTGATCGAAATAGATCATCTACTCAACTAATATGCATTTTAAAGTATCAATTTTTCTATTCAATTCTTTCTGTTCAATTCTTTCTATTCAATTATTTCTATTCAATTCTGTCTATTCAATTCTCTCTATTCAATTCTCTCATCCTATTTCATAAATATTCTATTCAATTTTTGTGAATTCTTATTCGAATTCTTCTTATTTGAGTTCTTCTTATTTGAATTCTTCTTATTTTTTTGAATTCTTCTCATTCGAATTCTTCTTATTCAATTCTTATATTCAATTCTTATATTCAATTTCTGTATTCAATTTTTGTATTAAATCTTTTCATTCAGAAATGAAGAAAATAAAAGAATGAGAAAATGATCAAAATCAAATAATGAGAAAATGAAGAAAATAAAAGAATAAAAATATGAACAAAATAAAAGTGTGAGAAAATGAAGAAAATGCAAAATGCTTACCAGTGCTAGTTAACAAGCCGGAGCCAAGCCACGGCTGCAGATATTCGTATTCCAAACTTTTGTCAATGTGAACGCTGCTGCTCAATAATGGCTGAACCGCTTCAGCTTTATAGAGAAATATAAAGGGCCTCATGCCTACCCAAATTAAGTACATATCTCCCAACTCTTTTCCCCAGTTGATCATCTTCTTGAAGGCTTCTGTAACAGATCGGTTAGCGTTAGGAAGATCAGTAATGCTGACTTGTGTTGTTTGTTCTTTGCATTGTCAGCGACGAAAAATCAATTAAACAGATCTCTCCGTATGAAAGCGACTACTAGAGTAGTATCATTTATGTAAACACTTTTAACAAGATTTTACGTTAATTATATTGCACAGTTTTTCTTCTGTATCGTTTTCGTCGAGTTTTGTTTTATCGTTTAGCGTTATCTTTTTATTTTTACATTAGAAAAAGATGCAGATTCGTAATTGTATTTGTTATCTTCGTTCTATTAATAGCTGGTTCGTTGCCGCGGGTTTCATTAATCTGTGTCGCGCAGTGAAAATTTCACTGTTGAGAACGGAATTTCGCGCTGTTCGAAAGAATCTCTTCGATATCATCCTGTGCTATTCGACCAATAACGATCGTTGACCCGAGCCAGCGTGTAGAAATAGATCTTTGCCAGTTCTATTCAAGGTCATTTATAATTATACCACATCTCCAATATATTATAAATTTGATTTACGATATAGCAGATTTTTCGTAGAAATTTAACTTGTTTTCTTCGACTTCGTTTTTATTAGGAAAAATTTCATTGTGGAAATTCTAAATTAGAATAGAAATTATAATCGAAATTTAGACTGTTAAATCGAAACCGGTATATTTTAGTCACATTGGCACAATCCTTTTTAAAATATGAAGAAAGAAAAATTCGCGTCTAGATTGAAAAAAAGCGATCGCTTTTTGAACAGTGTTGTTTCAACGAACAATTTTTATCCAGGGGTTGTGTTCGTACGAAATCTCATAGAATTCCATGCAATTATACGGTACAGTAGCGTTATTCAGGACGCAGGCGACCTCGACCTGCTTCTTCTTTCGTCCCGTTTCGTCTCGTGAGAGGCTCTCGCGATTATCTTCAGCATTCAATACACACTCTCGAGGTGGATAAATCTTTTTTCTCCTGTTTTCTCCCCCCGACTCCTTTCGCGCGTGCACTCGTGCCGCGCGATATTCCCTCGCTTCTCTCATATTTAGAGCAGGCTACTTATTTCCGAACTACATACGCGCGCTTTATCTTTTCTGATTAACGTCCGATTTGTTCGCCGACCTTATTAACGGTCTCGCGATAAACCAGTGCGTTTCGTTTCGTTTCATTTCGTTTCCAAAAGGACTTTGACTTCTCTCACTCGACGAGATCATTAATTAGCTGTGATCCCTTATGATCTCCTTCGTAAAATGCAATTCACCAAAACATCGTCTCTTCTCCCATGCGAACGAGTCGCCTTAGATCCGATACAGTTTCTCTTTTTTTTTAGTCGTTTTGCTTCATCTCGAATTATAGTCCGATCGGTGCAACCGATTCAATTGCCTCGGACGTTTTACCGTCGATTTTATTGCCGATTTTATTGCCGAGGCGAATTTCTTTTATTCGAACGGAGATCGCAAAATATTGTTAAAAGATCGAGTGGAAGTTCTAAAATATTCTAACGGAGATTGTAGAAAATTTTAATGGAAGTTCTAAAAAATTCTAATAAAGATTCCAAATAATTCTAATAAAGATCCAAAACAATTCTAATAAAGATCCCAAATAATTCTAATACAGATCCTAAGAAATTCTAGTAAAGATTTCAAATAATTTTAATAAAGATCCTAAGAAATATTCTAGTAAAGATTCCAAATAATTTTAATAAAGATTCCAAATAATTTTAATAAAGATTCTAAATAATTGTAATAAAGATCCCAAAAAATTCTAATAAATATCCCAAATAATTCTAATAAAGATCCCAAAAAATTCTAATAAAGATTCCAAAAGAGATTCTAACAATTCGAATAAATATTCTAGAAACTTCAAATAAAAATAACGATGCTTCCCATAATTAATTAAGACAGTTCGTCATATAACTATTCGGTTTTGCATTCCAAAGAGTTTTCAAAATGTATGCGCCGTTCCATCGTGTTTTACTCGACTTTTCGTTCCTATTATTAGCTTCGATTTAGCAAACGAGAGAGAGAGAGAGAGAGAGAGAGAGAGATTCTTCCATTATTCCCCGGCTTGTGTTGCAATAAACCACAAAAATGAGGCTATTTAATTTTTAACAAGATAAAGCACGTCTCGCTATCGCGTCTTTTTCAATGCACAAGTTTTCCTCAAATACTCGAGATATTTAAACTCTCTCGAGAAAACTAACTCGCCAATCTCCCGACATATTGCTATCGCAACTTTCTCTCAGCGTTGCTCGTTAATTAATCGAAGCTGCTCACACTTGTTCATTGTCAATGTCGATACACCTCCTCGCACGATTAGCGCGTTTCTCCGCTTTCCGATCTCCCCCGGGGTTATCAAATGAATCGTGTCAAATTGAAAATAAAACTACGCGAACGGGTAACCGACGATATATTTCACTCACTCCAGATGATACATACATCGTGTACCAGATATTTCACGCGTCCGTGACACATTTCTCTGCACTTTTTCTATACGTCCTCGGTGCGTTGTTCTTTTCTTTTTATACGTGCAACAAATACGTGTGCGAAACATTACATAAATTGTACTTTGCGAGCTCTCTCGCATTACTGTGTGCACCGTTGTCGGCCGCGAACATTCGTATAACACAATTCGGTGAGAATTCTTCTTTTCGAATTAGGTGATTCCAGCTTCGCGTTGCCATAATTTTCTGTCATTGCAGCAGGGAAAACATCGAACTCTCTAAAAGAGACTTTCGGAAAAATTGCAAATATATTTTCTTCAATTCATTCGAATTATTTATAAAAAAGAAAATACATCTCTATTTAACCTACATCTCGTAGAATTTATAAATTATTTTGCACAAAGATCCGCGGACTGGTTAAGATCGATTATTTAATTTGGAATTTACCGATCCTTCGAATCGATAATCGGTACGTGTAATAGAGATCCTTTCTCGGATGTTCGTGGCAAATTTTGAAACAAATTTAATATAGTACACGAATTAAAAGTACTTTAAAATGTTCATCTTATTAATCCATTAAAAGATGATCAATGGAAAAATCAAGCGTAGTTAGTTTTAGTTAGGAACATTTTCATTTTGCATAAAAATCCGCGGTCGTTCTCTTAATAACGGTAAATTAGAAAAACGATTCTTCTTCCAAGTAATATCAAAGTTAAGAAAGATAATTTTTAATTTGCGAGTAACAGCAAAATTAAGAAACGTCATTATTTCCCAAGTAACAGCAAAATTAAAAAAAAAAACACTTAATTATTCAAAGAGTGTCGATTTACACGTTCGCCGAGCATAATGTCGTACTATAAACACCGTGGAAACAGAGTAATGGGGTAATAGCAACTGTCTACTCACGTTCCGGACTGCAGCACAGCTCGTAAGCATTCCCGATGATTGGAAACGCGGCCGGAGGGTACGGCACTTTCCTAAGGGCGTAGAGACACTTGCCGCGTCGCACAACTAGGAAAAGTATGATGGTGAACAGGCACATCGACAGGGTCAACGTAACCCAAGAGGCTCCCATGGTGAAACTCGCTGGCGGCATCTCGAATGCGTTTCCTCTCATAGAAAGATCGAACGTCCGGTTGTTCGCATATTTCTGAAATTCCAATGGCCTTCGCGACGCTTCGCCGGTCAGCTAGCTCGCTCGCGCTGTAAGCGGATCGCTTCACACTGCTCCGTTCTGCTAGGAGGAACCGCGCGCTGCTCGGATCCCCCGTGGAGAGGGTGAGTCAACCCCTGGTGATTCAATCTACTAATTAGGAGCCGCTACGGCGGCGGCGGCGGCGACGGTCGCGACACTTGTTGCTTGGAGGTGGTCGGAAAATAGTACAAACTGCTTCAAAATGGCACAAACTGCTTAAAAATGATACAGACTCCTTCAAAATGGTACAAACTGCTTCAAAATGGTACAAACTCTTGCAGAATGGTATAAACTCTTCCAAAATGGTATAAACTATTCCAAAATGGTACAAACTCCTTCAAAATGGTAGAAACTGCTTCAAAATGGTACAAACTGCTTCAAAATGATACGAACTCCTTCAAAATGGTACAAACTCCTTCAAAATGGCACAAACTGCTTCAAAATGGCACAAACTGCTTCAAAATGGTACAAACTCCTCCAAAATGGTACAAACTCCTTCAAAATGGCACAAACTGCTTCAAAATGGCACAAACTGCTTCAAAATGGTACAAACTCCTCCAAAATGGTACAAACTGCTTCAAAATGATACAAACTCCTTCAAAATGGCACAAACTCCTCCAAAATGGTACAAACTGCTTCAAAATGTTACAAACTCCTCCAAAATGGTACAAACTCGTCGAAACTGGTTTAAATGGGCAAACTTTTTAAAACGGTCGAAACGGATAATCCCTTCGAAACTGGTGAAAACGGACAAACTGTTCGAGACTGGTCGGGACGGACAAATACGTCGGAATGTAGAAACTCCTTGAAATCGTCGAGAACAATTGGAGGAAGACGAAGACCCCGGGCGTCGTCGTGTGCAACGCGTATCATCGAATGACTCCCTCGGTTATACGTTGCCCGTACCAAACAGTCTCCCTTATATACTACTGAATACTCTGTGCACTACATCAACGGCCAGTGGTTAACTCTCCCACCAATAGAAACAAACACGTGGGACGTGTGTACAACACAGCAGCAACACGTGTGTGAAGAGGTGTCGGAACACTCTGGGTGGTTCCTGGCAACGAAGGTATATTGGCCGTTTATCCCGCGAAACACAACAACATTTGCATTTGCATCGCCGCGATGCGAGCTCGCGCGCGTGTTATATGCGCTGTCAACGTTGAAATTGCTCCGTGCATCGGAAATCACAGAGCTGCATCCACACACGGTTTCCTTATTCCTGTTGTCTGTTATTGTGCCGGTACGTGTCGGAGCAAACGCGTACATCGCGTACGTCGACCAATCTTATTAATAGACCGCGGATCTTATGCATTCGGGTAAAAATGGACGCGTCGAGTAGCTTTTGTTGTTTCATTTTATTTTTTGTTCCATTTTATTCTATCTTGTTTTATTTTATTCTTTTTATATGGACCTCGAATCTTTGCGCGATTGCGTTCAAAGTGGATAC